ATCCCCTTTCATTGCCTTCACTATCTTTACGATAAATCATAATCCAATATATGTATATATTGTAATACTAAAAATAACTATTTTTTTCTTTAATCAATAAATACGGAATAGAGGTGAGGGAGAAGTATCAATTTATAACGAAACTACATCTGCTAACAATACACAAGAAAGCCCATTGCAATACAGTACAATTGTCGCCAATGATACAATTACATTACCTTCGGGTGAGATATCCCCTGCTCAAACATCGCAAGACGCCCTTTGACTCCTCCTCTACCCAGAATGCTCCCTTCCTCTCGCTCACGTTGATAGTGCGATTTTATAGTCGTGTTGGCGTTCTAAAATGATGTCAACGAAATAACAATATGAACAAATTTATATATCACATTCGATTAGAAAAAAATGTTATATAGTCAACGATTCAAGGTTTTGGTCAAATTTACTTCCACGTAACCTACCTGATCTTCTGCCAGTGTGTCTCTAAATCGGCTGACACGTGACACTTGTCCAATACTTAGCATGTTGAACTTATTCGTCCTGCAATTTAACAAGATAAAACACACCAATTAGACGTTGTTTGGTAAACATAACATACATGCGATATTAGGATCCGTCTAAATTTACATGCTACGTTAACCGTACAAGTGTATCAATTGTCATCACTTCTAGCTCAAGCACGGACATTAATTTCACGGTATTTAGGGTGGGGCACGGCTGATAGTACTTACACATTCTTCATTGTTTTCAGTCTAGCATTCAGTTCATTAATCTGAAGAACAAGCAATTACAACAATATTCAATATAAGCGTACACCTTACCATTGTAAGCTCACGGCGAAGACCTTGCAGCACGCCCGCCCTCGAAGGTTCGCCGTGGGTTGACAATCCCATGTGTACTTATTGCGGAACAGACGTTGTAATTTAGCATCAGTTACCTTCAGAGTGTACATAATCTGCGGTGTATATTATTAGTGTGTATTTTGCATGACGAAACACTCGACGATCGCTGTTGATATGTTCTTCAATGGTTGTATAAAATGCAATTCAATGTACCTAACAAATAACTTAAAAATTTCATAAAAATTCCCTAAAATATATTTGTGTGTCATATTACGTACGTCATAGTTTTGTCTTTTCTTGCGTTGTTTTAAATCATATACTGTGCCGAGTGTTATCGCGAGACGTGCATGGAAATCTTGAGCAACGTCAACCAACTCTCGTCGTGAGGTTCGGTCACTGAGATCCAACTCCGGCACTCTCTCTGACATGGCGGCTTCCTTTTGTCGTTTCAGTTCGGACGAGGTCTTGTGACCATCTTCTTTGGCTCTGCGTATGTTTTCCTAAAAGAAGCAGGTATACATGACAATGAATAGTTATTCAAAATGTTGTAATAATTATTGTGGTTTTACCATAGACCCCAGAGCCTGTGTTATCTGGTGCCTTTACATATCAGAGCACACACATACGTAGTAATACGTGACTCGGCGAAGTAATACAAAATCAATAACCGAAAATTAAAAAAAAACGATAATATCATCACAGCTCCTAAGATAAACCATCACACGAGCACAATGCCCTTATATGGCATTAAAATATATGGATGTTAGCAACTCACCTTCAAGTTCAAATGCTTTCCTATTTTCATTATTACTTTGTTTTTACTTGCATTTTCATTATTTCTTCTTATTTCTAATGCTTGTTCTTTGCGTATTTCTTCTTGTTCTTTTCGATGACGTGCCTCCTCCTAACAAATAATTGTGTTATTACAAATGTTTTATATAGTCTTGAACCTGACCACATATAGGAATTGGTTAAATATGCGATCAAAGGCGAAAATAATGAATATTTCAGTTTAACTCCGGTGTTAACTCACCTCCAATTTCTCTTTTATCTCTTTTTCTTTTTCTAGTCGGGCAACGTTTTCTGCTTCTCTTTCCCTTTTTCTCTTTTCCTGCACAAAAATATTTGTTTCTGTTTAAAAGACAAACACGGTTTTCGGTGTTTCTTGGAACTAATAATTATGACGGTTTTAACGGTTAACGTACCCTTCTTTCTGCCAATTCTAAAAGCTCCATACTTTTTCTTTCTCTCTCAGCTTGTCGTTGTTCCCACAATTCTTTCATTCGCTGTTCGTCGTCCTGTTTTAACCTCTCGTGCATTTCCTAATAAATGAATCAGTTCAATGAATGAAAGAGTCAATGAATAAATCAGACCAAATAAATGAAACAATGAGTGTGTGAGTGAGTGAGTGAGTGAGTGAATGAGTGTTGTGTATTATATATCGTGAACTTGCATGTGACAACAATAACTGTTGTACACACCCCCATACAACATACGAAGGATGTCTGAGAAGTACTAGTATGTACTAATGTGAAACTGAAAAGTAACGCATTCTACAGAAACTCGCTTACAGCAAATTCAGTTTTGTCCTCTTCTCCTTCTTTCGCAGCCACCAGTTGCATTCTGAAAACGGTATGAAAGTTACGCTATAATTAACAAACTGACCCCAATCTTAGTGTGATTTGTTGTTTTTATATAATTATAATAATCTTCGAAATGAATGAGGTGGTCATCAAACGTGTCTTGGAGGCTTACTTTCCTAAGGGTAAATTCCTTATAGTTGTAAAAATACAAAACAAATATACTATGATCGATTCGATTCTAAAATGCATCGTTCCTTAAAGAAAAGCCCAAGTATCTGGCAGTATGGCGAACAAATGCATTGCACGCACCGCTGAATATCCGCCCTTCAAACAAGGTATGGCTAATCAAGCCTTCGGAGTTATCGGGGTATATGTGTACAAACACTAAATGTAGGCATCATTACAAGTACATGAATATTTAAATATGAACGGCAGGGAAATCCACAATTTTTTATACAAGCTGGTAACCTATAAAGGCTGATTTTCGGGTGTTGTCAAGGTAATGGTATGACCTAGTGTGACCTGCCTGTCAAGTTTGACCAATATTAGACCCCCCCCCCCTCCCCCCAAAAAAATCACAGAAAATTTAAAAAGGCGTTTCTGAGGAAACGTTACCCCAACCAACTTCGAGGTCTAATTTCTCGGCTATGAAAAAAAAAGATATAAATAATTGGAACTCTGGGCCCATACTTAGTAAAATGAAATATGTCCGAGGTTTTTACTCCAAGATTTGTTGGAGGAGATACATTTGGCGCAACTGACTAGAAAGAAGGTGTGACCTGCCTGCCAAGTTTGAACAAAATCGGCCCAGCCAAACAAATCACAGAAGAGTTAATACGTGAAGACGGCAAGAGTGATTATAATGACAATCCCAGCGGAGCAGATCGCCAATAATATCATATTTGGTTTTACTGGTAATACATATTTGTCCCTGCCTTATATTGACCGAAGTATGGGTGACCACTCATTGACTCGCCCTAAGCTATATTGGTTAGGTTGGCAGGGAAATATACTCACGTGCGTCGTCGTTGCAAAGGGCGTTGCTGTTTTTTCTCGGTCTCTTCATTTTTCTGTTCAACTGTCACTTTATTTGTGACCATTGCACCATTATTGACTATCACAGTTGTCTAAATTATAATCAGAAATCATCAACATTAAAAAAAATATATTATTAGCGCAGATATGTTGTGTGGTCAGTTCTGAATAAAATGTATCGATATATCCATCTTCCCTGCATACTTACACTGCTGCTCCACACACTGACATGTGGTTTGTCAGTCACGTGTCCATTCATGACAGCTGGTTGCTCGTCGATTAATTGTACTTCCCCTTCGTCATTTATCGGCCGTCTTCGTCGCTCTACGTGTGGCTCCTCGCCTTGGTCCGGATTGGGGACATGATTTGATACTTCTATTGCGGCTTCCGCGGCAGCTTTCTCGGCGGCCCTGTACGTAAATGAACATAGAATGACTGAATTGAAAGTAGAACTACAATCAAGGCAGATACAATGTACATGATCCAGGGTAATGTCACTTCTAGGAGTATGATGCATAGCTTCTAAATCGTAACTAAACCATGTCTCATTGAATGTGACTATCGCTTATATATACCTTGTTTTCTTTCCTCTGCTACCTATAGGCGTGAAATACGAATGCTGAATTCGTTGTTATTTGTCTATATTAGATAATTCTTAATCTTGCTTCCAAATTTGTTATATGAGTACACTGATTAGGCGCATATGAATACATTGTTGTAATGTTCACTGTCATCTACTATACGTAACCTTTAATGCTGTCAAACGTTTGGTGACAATATAACCAATGTAGCATATTGAAACATTACAGTGTTATCATGAGATGTGACGATGAGTTTTACGTTTTAACAAACTAGACGAATGGAGTTTGCCGAACTTTTACAGCTGTATTATTAAAACTCGTACTAAACAATTAATTATGATTGGGCAATTACTTAAGAAAATTGCTCAATGTTGACGATATATTGATATCAGGCTGAGTTTTTTTCTTGAACAAAAAGCATCGGTGGTTTCCGATTTCTTCGATAGATTCGGCCTCATGAATATTCATGTATCATGTAGATTAGCCAAAGTTTGACGAATATCTACCAAACTTGACGCCAGTTTCTTTTCTGAAAAAATCATTGAATATATCCGATGTATTGGATAATTTCGTACTAATTATTCACAAATTATGTATGTATATTGATGAAACTTTGGACAATTTATATATATGTAACCTAAAAGTTAAAAGTGTTACCTCGCTGCTTCGCGCATACGCCGTCTTTCTTCTCTGCGTTTTCTTCTTTCCTCTCTTTCGAAGTCAATATCTTCAGTTTCCATAGTTACAGCTGTAGTAATATAGAAATCAAAATTTAATTGAACACCTGCATTGTGCAATATATTTACTGTGTGCGGCCTCGTACTATGCTAAGTTGTCCTTGGGTGAGTACATGTACTAGTAACCATGGAACTATGTAGTAACCAATTTACATAGTTAAACTTGCTCATTGTTCATCCTAAAGTAACTGTAACCAATTAAATCCAGTCACTCAAAATGTTTGCTTTAGTATTTTGCATGTTTAGTATTATTATTTGTTATTATTCAAAGTGAGGTAAACATTTTATCGCCTTGATTCAATAAATGTCCCTAGAACTGTAGATGGGTTATACGGCAAATATGCTTATTAATTCATGATAACACGAATTCCATACTCATACTCATACATACTATGGCACCGTCCCTCAACAGGAAAGAGAAAGTGGTGACAGTAGAACGTCCGCAAATCGCACAATGAGTACGTAATTACACACAATAAATCACGATGTCACATTTTACGTAACCCCCTGTTCACACCTTTGACGTGACGTCATTCACCTGCCGAGAGTTTGCCATGGGAACCAGTGTTCATGGCTCGTTTATTTTTATATTGAATGAAAAAGGACCGCCAGGCCTCGTAAATTCGTAAATTGGGCGCAATGTTTACCCGAATGATTACAGCCACAGCCTCCAAGTCTGCATAGATGGACACTCACATATGACGGTTGTGTATTGGGAGTTAGATAACGTCTTGTTTAACCTCTATGATAACATAACAATACGTCAAGGCAGTTTATGTTTGGAGCATCTTTACTTCCATTATATACATGTCGCGACTTAGACGGATTCTGTTTGATTACATTAGAATAGAAACCCTTTTTGGAGCTCAGTGTCTCAAGGTTGAGACCGTTAATGGATCCCATTCAATTGAACGGCATTTGCATACTTTGAAAATAAGATGTTCGCAAAAGTTACTTTGATAGATATAGATATATATATATATTTATATATTTGTTTTTTAATGCACTACGCTCAATATGTATAGGGATACACTGCGCTTTCCTTGGGGACACACAATTGGTAATCGTGAGTATTTAAGGAGAATCGCTGGTTTCCTCTTCTTCCGAGTCACGTCTGATGAAAACTATAGAACGTCTGTACACGGGGCAAGGAGGATTGATTCCATCATGAATAGACTTGATGGAGTCTAGATGATGAAATTAAGGGGAAAAAATAGAATTCCCGCTTACCTGTCCGGTATAGTTCAGGAGGATTGAGATCTTGCGATGAGTGTTACACTACTCCCCGGATGCACGCGTCCACAAGTTTTACCCCTCGTTGAATGGCGTCGATTTCTTTAGACGAAGACTGCTTTTAGTGCTGCTATTGGTTAATTGTTCTTGTCGCTTTGTTATGCAAATTAGGGAGCGACTGCTGGCGGGCGAAATAGACAATTTGGGCAGCGACAGGCTACCATTATCGGGCTGGGTTGATGATGATTTATTGCTAGGGGTGCATTCCTGGTACACCATGATAAAGATAATTTATTACAACTTCCCCGCCAGTGTATATGACTTCCATGATGCGGAGTGAACTTTCACCTGTTAGGATAATATTGTTTCTTTCTGGATCTGACCTAGATATACAAATGAACACTTACCGAATACCACAGACCCACAAACCCTGGTCATTGCTCATGTGTATTCAGTCGCAAAATGAACAATGTTTTCGTTCGTGTATATTTCATTTTCAATGGCCACTATTAGGAACTCTAAATACAATACAGAAATCACCAAAAACTAAAAATGTCAATCCTGGAAAAGAATTGGGAAGAAAATTTAAAAAAAATTATGAAATCAATGAAATTTATGTTTGATTGGTGATAAGACATCACATAATTCTGTGTAGGTTAGTTTCAGGATTTATTGCCAATGGTGATCACAATGTAAGATGTTCTGCATGGACACACTCACTCACTCACTAGTGGTCTGAGTCTAATCCTAATTAGTAGACTCTTTCTATTTTAGAATACTAAATGTGGATTTCGTATTCTTGTAAATTATTAGTGGAATTTTGGAATCAGAATAACGCACCACGGAAGTCCTTTGAAGTACGTTGATGTTTGCAAAGCAAATGCGGTTTTAAATTCTCTATCTGTATGCTTCAGATGGAAACAAAATAAGTTAACAACTTGTAAAGCAGGGGACGATCATTGACAAGTTACGTATGAACACAGACAATAAATACGTGTTCACGTCTAGCTTGTAATAACACGTGTTTATCATGGAGAAGAAGTTGACTTTTCCCGGAGGTATCCTCACGAACTTTTATCAATTTGACATTATCATTCATTCTATGTTTATCCTCGGAACCACTCGGGACGATCTTTCTCTGCATTCGTGCGCCTGACATTTAATATGTTTACGCACTCAATTGAGGAATGGCCAAATGGCCGTAGGATCACGGATTTGTGCTTAATCTAAGCAATGTATGTTTGGTTCTAGTTCATCGATTGGTGAGTTGTTTTACTGAGATTTGCCTGGAACACTATAAATTTTTAAATCCTCACTGCGTGTTTTTCGATGAAATACTTGACAGTGTGTATCTCTTTCATCGTTTCCCTATAATTATAAGACAGCACATCATTGTACGGCAATTTTTAGACTGATTTTATTCATCATTCTAGCCTAAATTTGACGTTTTCATAAACATATTTTAAAGCGGGTGATTTAATTGTTCACACATCTAATAATTGGTTCATTCGAATGTGTCTTCGAAGTTTCATTTCACTCCAAAATTCGACTATCAAATAAACGTTTTTGAAATATGAACGTACGTCTTGATATGCCCCAGATCACATACCGCCTAATATGCCACTCCCCATACCACTGAATGTGGGATAACATCGTTCATTTTTACTGTAAATATTGTATTAATAATAAATATTTCTCTAAATAGATGAAATAAAAATGTTGTTATTCTATTCTATTTTTAACCTAGGGGAATCATATGAATCAAAACAGATAATATTTCAGTGGAGTAATATTAGTATACAAGTCGCAAATGATCGACGATGTTGTTTTTTTTCATTATTTTCCATACAGTGTGTTTTTAATGAAAAGTTAAATGGTCGCTTCATCACAGTTTAGTGTGGCAGCTTTTACCGAGATGCAACATTAATATTTGGACCATTGCTTACTGTAACCTTACAAGTAATACTGCATAACTGAGTGCATGCGTATCCCGTGAGGTGAACATGTAGTCTTTTCAATTCTATATAAACAAGTTGATGTAGACTTGAAATGCTAATGGTATCCTGCAATCTTATTCTATACTTTTCTTTTAATATCTATCATATCAGATTCTATTAAAGGGCGGTAGTCGTCGCGCCGCGCATGTGCGACATTTGTGTTGATAAACATTGATTTTCCCACAAACCATTGCGCTTTTCAAATGAAATCTCAAGTACCAATTTTGCCTTGTGTCCCACTTGCACTAATTACCACCGGCGTCCCCTTCGATGCCTTCTAATCACCAAAAAATATAAAATTAAAGCTTGTTAGCCTCATAGTTTGTGCGCAAAATTCAAAATCGCCATCTTTGTTTATATCTCGCACATGCGTGGCACAACGAGCACCGCCCTTTAACCCATCGCAACCTTAGACAAGATTAAGACATGCAAATATACTGACGTGCATTTAACAAAACACGTAATATTTTGACTAGATTATGCAATTAATTATTGTACATAATATTACGTACTAGTATGAAGTATCACAAACATATTTTGCTCATTACACGTGTGTTTTCTCAACTACTTCTTCTAGTAACCGTGTCGCAACTAAAATGAGAATGACTTTCGGAGGAGATCAATGGATAATTAGGCTGAAAATAAGCATTTAATACATATATGGCATCTTAACTTTATATGTTATAATTAAATCAGCACACTTGTGGTACATTAGGCTAAAATTTTCATAAAATGGTCGGCCATAATAAATCATGGGAATGGCTGGAAGAGTGTGGCCAGTGCAATGTCTTATTGTACATTTATGTGTTGAATGTGCCAACATTCTGTTGCAACACCTTGCATGCATTTTCTCTCTCGGTGTCAAGCTTGCTATTTTTTCACCAAATCTTCTAGCCACCTTTCGTGATTTCAAATGGTCGACCCCTAAAAAGCTTGGATGACGCAACTGTTATCTGGCCCATTTTTAAAGCGGGAGGGTCGTCACCTGCTTACGATAACAACACACAAGTGTGTAGACGCTTGTTTGTAAACAATGATACGCTATGGCCATCTGACGCATGCGCAGTTGACGACTCCTCCGCTTTAAACTGTTATGCATGTTGACTAGAGACAAGCCATGATCATTCGCCCAACAGTCCCGAGAAGTCGTACGACATCTGGCTACAAATGTATACGGTCTATACGACTTCTCAGGATTGTGGGCCCGATGATGGTCAGCGGAAATAGACTAACATACATAAAGTTATGGGTAAATATTTTCCAGCATGACGTATGTCAATTTGCATGTGTAAACTGAGAACAGACTTCTCAAGGTAGAGTGAACCAAGTGAGTATTGGTCACCAAATCTGGGAGGAGAATAACGCACTGAAAAGGAGCACTTGTAGCTCTAAGATATTTATTGCTCAACTGCTAGGCCTGGAACTGAGTCTAAATACTCACTAGATCTAAATTGGATTTACTCAGAGCCCCTATCTACATCATATTTAACAAGAGCCCTTAACTACGTTAGATTTAATCAGCACCCCTATCTACATGATCACATTTGAATCGGATGCCCTATTCACATCAGATTTAACCAGAGTCTCTATCTACATTAAATATATATCTAGATACGATTTAACCAGGGTTTCTAACTACACCAGATTTGAACAAGGAAGGGCACACACTTATATAAAAACAAACAGAAAACAGATATTTAAGAGCAGAAGTAAACTGACTTTATTGTAGTAGTTTGGGAACAGATACAGAGGCAAAAATAATGCTTCAAATAGTAACTATCAAGTATTTGGTAAAAAATAAGAGGCAATATATGGCTGCTGTTTTTTCAGTAATTGAAAAAAAATGATTACACATTAAGAAACTAATCAATGCACATATAATATTTGGGGAAAGTCCTAGATAAATTCTGAGGTCACTTCCCAACATTTTTTTAATTTTACAACATTTATCATTCTCTATTCATATTCAATATTATCTGTCATTAAACAATTCAAAGTCCCAAATCTATCCTTTACAGACAAAACTTTTCCAAAGGACAGTTGGTAACACAGTTACGAAGTTTCCACACCTTTACAACACATTTTGCACTTATTTAAATTAGAATCTCCACACCATATTAGGAGTGGATTATTCCATAATTTACAAAGGGGTGGGAGGTGGTGGTTTTTGCAGCCTGTGTAATTTTGATTGTTTCTTGTTGGCAGTAAGATGTCTCATAAAATTTTGAAACAGGTCATCACTTTAAGATGTTTGCATCTAAATGGCATTAACATGGATTACACAAATAGCAAAGTAAAATGTAACCAATCTGAAAGACGGAGGGTAGCACTGAATATCAAATCGATAATTAGTTAAGAAACTCACTATTCTAAATAAATGTCAAGAGTCTACAGTTGCCATGACAACAATTTTCAAATCAATATTTTTTGACATGCTTTAAGTGACAGTTCATGAATTGTGTCATATTATTTCTAAAAAAAAAGACACAAATTTTTTTTTATAAAAACATAAACATGCTCTCAGTCTGTACTTTTGAGTATAGTTTAAATTTATTTTCAAAATAAAATAAAATGTTGCTTGCAGGGTTCTAATAGTGGGCTTCAGCAAACTAGGCAGTCGGATTAGTCCAGTGATTAGTCCATGTCTATTTCTATTTCTGAAATGAAAGAAAAGAACAGGAATGAAGAGAAATCATCAAAAAATAACAAACTGTTGTTGTGAATGAGTAGTTGGTGAGTAAATGTTGTGGTCGCTCAATTGTAAGCAGTCTGTAATACAGAATGATAATGTTAAATTAAAAACACCTGTCAAGATTAACAAAAAATAAAATTTATTAATAATTAAAGATTATTGAAAATAATAATAACAAATAAGATAAATATTATATTGTGAAAGAAAAAACAAATCAATATGAAGTTAACCTAAAAGTCTGTGAGGTGGTCATGTAATAAGGTAATAGTGGATGATGGGAAGGATATTAGGTTTATGGATTAATAACAAGATCAAATGGAATAATTGAAGATGTACTGTTTCATCAAGTCTATCAACAAGATTAGCAATTATCTGAAGAAAAAAACAGTCAGTGTTTTTAGTTTCACACAGTCAATAGACAATTTACAGTTTTGCTCACAAGCCTGAATTTTTAAATAT